TGCCAATAGGAGCGAAGCCAAATGCGGATCAATATTCATATCTGTCAACGTATGCTAAAATAAAGAGAGGCGCGCGTATGAGTGTGGTAACCCCGTAATAGTCAGGAATATGGTCGATCGAAAGGGGGGCCTCAAAACGTCTTTGTTCAGCACGGGCATTCACTGTTGAGATGATTACCACAACAACTTGCGAGACTAGGAACAGGAACAAAAGCGCTCGATGATTTTCGAATTCTTGGTCGTGCATCCACTTCATTAGAGATGCTCGCTATATTTTGTTATCCAGCAGCAATAAAAAAAACCTCATTAGCATTCTCCATCAGGGTGCCCCAAAAGTCGGCTTTTTGATAAAGTAATAAAAAAAAAAAGGAGGGGGCACTTACGTCCTTTTTAATGACCTCGACAGACTCCATACAGATCGAAAGCATCTCCTGTGTGTCAAACAAGTACGCATGCTGAAGCATCAATGTATTCTTCGACCGATTGACATACATGCGGATATCGCCTGTCTATGGTGACATTCACATACAATAGTGACGTGATGAAAAGAATAGGAGGCCACAGTGAGTGCTACATTAAAGCGAAAAAAGCAGTTGTCAAATGCAACACCATTTAGATCCTGCTCCTACCGTGCTGAGATCATTGAGACCCAGAGGCAATCCTCCGCGTTGCCTTTTGACATCGCGCTCCAGGTTTTTCTCGTTCAGTATGTTGTTATCCACATCATCAAATATACCGATTTCCTCGTTCGGATCCGTAACCGGGGAGGTGTCTCCAAATAGAGAGAGATCTCTAGCATGTCCAAAGAACCCGATAACATGTATAGGGAGGTCGGGCGAGAGACCCAATGCCATGACCCAGTCTAATAATGAGCAGAGTGACAATCAGATTCCGCACCATAATCATACCAAAACCATACAAATAATAATAATAATAATAATAATAATAGTAATAAGTGATTGAGACGGATTCATACTCTCAATATCTTCCTTCATGAACTGGTTCGCAATCCCTTCCCCCATGCTCGTCGCAGAACCCGGTGCTCCCTTTTCGGGTCCAGTAGTTTGGGAGTAGCCATTCGGAGTATGTCGGCTGTGGCCCTGGTTCTGTCCTGAACTTGACGTGCGCGAATGCTGCTGCTGCTTATTTGCAGACGTAGAAATGGGTGGTGGTGGTGGACGAAATGCTGTTGCTGCAGTATTAGTGCCATTGGCACTGGCAGTATTTTCGTTGACTTTCAACGCATGGCCGTTGTTGCCGTGGTGCTGGTTGTTTTGCTGGCCGTTGCTGGCAATGTTGGGAGGCAAGGACAAACCCAAGGAAGAAAAAGACGACGACGACGAAGAAGAAGAAGAAGAAGAAGGTCCTGCTGCTGATCTTGCTCCGCTATGACCTGAATCATGATGAGGTGATGGTTGCATGAAGCGAGTGTTTAATTCTGGTCATCGCCTCCGTTGAAAGAGAGAGTGGGTTGTTTCGTCGGTGGAAATCGCAAACACCATGGGAGCATCTTTTGCTGTGAGCAACAAGGGAGGGTATCACCCTTAATAACTTTATCTGAAACGCAACGTTTCGTAAGTTGGTGGCGTAGGCGAGTACCACAATGCCGCAGTCTTCAGCGTGCCAGCATTGATGCCGAGTTGTATAGCCCTTGGATACATCTGCGTTCTCTCATTTGCGACTAGTCTTCAAGTAGTTTTGGAACTGATTTATTAAAATGTATGAAATATACTAAGTGTGTAATAGCGACATTTAATCCTGTTTGATATCCTTGCTCTCGCCCTCCTTCTTCTCCTCCTCGTCAGTCTTCTTGGTTCCAAGTCTGCGCATGATAGCCAGCACAAACGCCGAACCAATGAACATTGCAATCATCGGGTGCTCACCAGAAAACCTCGTTGCGATCCTAACACGGCCCTGGAGATACCTGAACACCTTCTGCGCAGCCGACAGCATCGACTTGGGAACCAGAACACCCGACTCGATATCCGCAATGTACGTCAGCAAAGCCTCCTGAGAAACCGGCACGCGACGACCATCCAATGCATAGGGGTAAAAGATCTCCTCACGGCTGTTGATCACCAATACCGCTGGCAGATCCTTCTGGTCAAGGTTGAAGGCGCCTCGGACATAGTTTTCCCACCTGGTCGCATCCAGGATTGCAAACCGAAAGGGTTTGCCGCCGATCAAGATGCGCTCCTCGAGAGTGTCGTGGTACTTTTGAGCAGTCTCAATCAGCTCACGTCGAGCGGCGACTGTGTTTTGATTGGAGGGGTCAAAGAGACCGAGTGCGATCCAGCCAGGCTGGCTCAGAACTGGACCAGTGCTCTCGTTGGTGAGTGTAGTAACGAGAGGTGTCTTTGTCTCTGCAATCCATGCCTGAACAGCGCTGGCGTCCGTGAGCGATCCCGTGTATGGGTACTGGCGGTTGTTCTTCAAGGCGACCAATCCTGTGCCAGACACTGAAAGGTGGCGAGCTAGCTCGGCGTCGTCTGATGAGCAGATGGTGGCCTGCTCATAGTAGATCTGCGATTGCTTCTCGATCAAAGCAGTAATCTCTGGGCTGGTCTTGGAGTCATGAATGTAAACGAACGTAACGTCGTTCTTGTCTGTAATATCCTTCAGCTCAGATGCCGTAATGGGCTTGACCGAGGGCCTAGTTGACGCAAAATAAAATGCATACAATCAATATCCCTCTCACAAATGTCATCGTGGAGTCTCCTCCCTATCCACAAGCCAGCGGCGATTTCTTACACAATGGCTCCGAGAGCAAACTCTGACATGCCCTCAACAGAGCGTTGTTTCTTGAACTCGATCGATTGGCCGTGCTGGTGAAGTTTAATAGTGGGGTAACCACGAATACGCTCTCGTCGACAAATGTCTTCGTTCTGCGTGCAGTCGACCTTGGCGACGTTGACCTTGTCCTTCATGGCTTCCGCGAGCTGCTCGTAGATTGGTGCCAAAGCCTTGCAGTGACCACACCATGGTGCATAGTATTCAATCAACCAAGGACCGAACTTTGTTCTCCTGTCGTAGCTCTCCAAGTCCAAGACAACGACTTTGCCGAGAGCATTGACCTTGACCTCGCCGACCTCGTCGGCACTGACGTTGTTGGGCACATTGATGTACTCTGCCGCCATCGCAGCAACAAATTCGTTCATGGCCTCGGTTGTTCTCTCCTTCGTATACTTTGTAACCGACTTGCCTTTGTAGTACCTGTGAAATCGAAAATGAATCATCAGACTAATGCTCATCTACCCTACTGACTTACTGATCGGCATACAACGGGCATGGGCGTTCCACGTGCTTTTTTCACTTACAACTGCATGGTTGGATAGGATACGATATCATTGTCTTCGCAGACATCGGCATTGGCTAAGCAATTGACCTCCGCAAGCTTAAAGCCCTTTGTTCTCTGCCAGTCCTTGTGTTCCACCGCCAACTTCTCCCATGTAGGTGCTATATGGTTGAGGAAGAAAAGATAATGCAGACCAATAGTTAGCAAAAGCAACTGCATCCCCAAAGATCCCCACTAATACACGGCGCCATTCCCAGATGCCTTACCGAGCTTCTGGCTGTGCTTGCACTCTGGTGAATAAAACTTGACGAACCTATGAAAGAAAAATCGTGAGCATGTAAAGTTTTTAGGACACATTGCCAATGAGAGCACCAGACTGCTTGAGAAAGGAAGGAAATAGAAAGGAATAAGTATCTTACGTTGCTCCTTCTGCAATGGTGGCTGCAAAGTCAGATCCTTTGAGTGCCTTGGATGCAGCCGAAGCCTCGGCGCCCTGAAGAGAGGAAGAGCAGACTGCGATAGCAATCGCTGTCGAGAGTATACTGTGGATGAGCATTATGTGTATATAGAGCGTAAGACGGAGAAAGAATAGAAGGAAGGAAGGAAGGAAGGAAGGAAGGAGGGAGGGAGTTGGAGATGGGGAGCAGAAGAGAATGAAGGATGAAGAAAAGGACAGGATGCGCTGATGAGAAATCTCTTTTTGTTCTTTTTTCCTTCGTCTTCCTGAGAAAAAACTAATATCGTGCAACCGTGCAAAAAGATGGCCCATGGAGCCCTTTGGGGTCACACCAACCAACGGCAGGAAATGAAATGGACGCCGCTCATTGGCCACAGCGCCACACTCGAAAAATGAACCTTGGCACACTCGACAGCTCGGAACCGCATCCGATCGCCCAGAAGCTCCCAGGAACTGGTCTGTACCTTCGAACCCTAACTTCCTTTTCCTTGTAATTTCCCATGCTCACTATCTACCCTCCACTTCCGGCGACTGAGCGTGTAGACACATGTCCACTGACAATGGATTCGTAAGGCTATACACCCGCGAAATGGATTCCCAGGAATGATATACCATGCTTGTTCTTTATATTATTATACATTTTTTATTAATGAAATGAATAGGATTGATGAGTCTTGTATTGTTCTGTTGTTTAACGCGAGCTGGCGCTTGCAGTCTTGGTGGCAATCAAAGCAGCCAGTGCTGCGCCGACGCCAGATCCGTCCCTATTAGGTAGTAAAAAAATTTGATTAGCATCTACTCGTGTCAATCGAAACAAAAGGCATAAGAAAAAGACGTGCGAGCAGTCCTTACTTTGCAATGTCTAGCTTGATGATGTCCCTAGCATGTGGTCCCAGCAGTTCAACAAGTCCCTGCTTCATGCGCTCTTCAAAGCGTGGGTAGTGCTCAAACACTGTCCCATCGATTCCGACCTGGATCAGTTCCCTGTTGGCATCCGCACCCTTCGATGCCCCATTCTGATCCACTCTCTCCTCTTCGTGGATGCTCAGCTTCAAGGGGTACCCATGGTTGCGGAGCATGCCCTTATCCAGTCCCTGACGAATCACGGCCGCCGTGGCCATGGCACTCAGACGTGCTGCTCTCGTGCCCACGAGCTGACACACAAACTTGACGATCTCACGATCCGCTTGGGTGTTGATATAGAGATCCAGCTCCTGCTCCAGAACCTGCGCAATGGGAATCAGGCTGCCTGTAGTATCATCCTCAATCGCAGACATGAACTTTGTCTCAAACGACCAGTGCTTGTTGAGTTTCGGGCTGCTGGTTCCCTCAAACAACACGCGCTGGTCAATGAGGTGGAGTAGCACGTTTCGTGTGATCTCACCCAGATACATTCCTGAAATCATCTTTTCAAACACATGCACGCCAGGATTCTGTATACGCACAAGAGAAAATCGATGGAGTCAGATCAAATCAAGAGGTCTGCAAGGCTTTCAATACCGTAATTGCAACATTCCCGACGCTTACGATTGATTCACGGTCCAGCTTGTTGTCAAAGATGGTAACGGGGAGATAATTCTTGTCCTTGTCAAAGTTGCCCCATTCAGTATTAATGATCATCTCGTCAGAGTCGGCATGCATGGTCTTGATGTTATGGGTATTCTCGACGTAGGCACCATTGGTTCCAGTTCCGAAGATGGCGCCGATGTAGGTACCGGGATGAGTGTAAGAGTGTGCCAAAAGGGTTCCGACAGTATCATTGACCAAGGCGGCTAAGAAAGAATAGGAACAACCAACCGGCCCCCATTTAGAGCTCTGGAATGAAAAACACATAAACGTGGACTTTAGCAGACGCAGCAAAGCCATCACCATTGGAATATGGCCGCTTACCAACGTGAACATTGACCTTGTTGCGGTCCAGCGCTTGCTGAAGCAATTTGACAATATCGTTGTCGACAGCACCAGGGCAGTTGAATCCCTTGGTCCAGCGGAGGAGCAGGCCACCGTCGATCGCGGTCTGCGCAACAGGGAACGAGAACGTGAACCCGAGCTCGAGCGACTCGGAGTCTGTGGGATGCGCCACAATTTGTGCGTTGATGTGTTCACTGGTGATAAACTCCTTGATCGAGTTGGCGATAAAGTCCATGAGTTCAGAGACATTAGCTTCCTGGAGGTGCTCCGACACTTTGAAAGCCTTTTGATGGGACTCAAGTTCATGGTTACCCTTGAGGTTAATAAGGCACACGCTATACGATTGAGAATCAAAAATGCGTTAGATACAGATACGATCTTGCTTTTTTTTTTTTTGATGCCATAGAGCCACACCAACAAAGACTAAGAAAAACTATGTGGGGTCTTTTTTTTCAAGTGCCGATAACGAGACTCTGTCAACTCTGCCGCCTTCTGTGATGAAGTATGAAAAACAAAGTTGAACAGGGCACTGATAACGAAGGACAAAGAAAGCCGCCTACACACGGAGCATATTGTTTTTCCAGCTCAACACTATCAAATGCATTCCAGAAAGATAAGAGGGCGGGCAAACGAGACGGAGATGGTGAGGGATGGAGATCGAACTCAATTGATAGCCCTAGTCCCTCAGATCGTCTTGGCCCCCCTCCCCTCCCCCCACAGTTTACCCCGCACCCGCGCCATCGTACTAATAAAATGGTCAGCCCATCGATCCATTACTCATCGCTGTTGTCATCTGGCATTTCTCACGATCAACGAATAATGACAGCGCCTTCAAGGGGGACGAATAAATCATTTCTATCCGTCGAAGGTCTGCATCACCAAATGATATACAAGATTGACGTGAACGACACGAGGAAGGAGTAGCAACAGCCACTGTCCACTGATCCATCTCAAACGCCACCAACCATGTCTGTAAGAATAGCAGCTTCCTTACCGAAGATTGGTGCCGCCAAGATCCAGGGCAAGATAGCTTCCACGCTCGTAACCATTAGGACGTCCAGTGACAAAGGTCGGGACCATGGCGAGGTCGCTCGGTTTCTGTTCAGTGAGACCCACACGCATCTGGTGTACAAACTGTGTGGCCATGGACTCAAGCTGGACAGTCGATACGGTGAAGTCCTCGGCAATGGACTCCAAGATTTGAATCTGTCGCTTGCTCCATTTCGACTGGTTCTTTGGGAGTAATGAGGAATGCATCGTGGTGGCAATGAGGTATACGGTTAGGGTGGAGAGTAAGAAGCGAATAACGGAAAGGTAAGAATTGAAGAAAGAAGAAGAGGCGACCGATGGTACCTGGTATGGGTTTTTATGACGGAGAGATATCTCCTCACGTATGATGTCAGTTGCACCGGTGCCTGTTCTATCACATATGTTAGTTACTTTTTGTTCTGCGCCCATAGCAGAAAACGACCCTGAACATTGACGATGCACTGGCCTGTTTCTTGTCCTGGCCTAGCAATACACATGCATGACACACTCGCACTCACGCCAACAACATTGCATGCCTTTACCACACACCACTCTCGGCCCATGGGCCACACAGGAACCAGGGAAAGAGACTCGCGTTTGCTCACTCTGCGATCATATTTTTCTCCTTCACTACGTAGCGGATCCCAAACTCTATTGCAGCCGTCCGCAGGAACACGCACGGCTGTTTACTTCGTCTTTACGCGTCTTGCAGTGGCAAACATAGCATGTCGATACCCTTACTCTCACGTCCAAGTCGCTTCGGTTGCTTCAATTGCTTCAATTACTTCGACGGCTCATCCCACACGCACCCGGGGGGATCAAAACAGCTCATCCTCCTTTGTCCATGCAAGACCAGCCAAATACCGCGACGTACCTTTTCTATACCAACAGCACTTGGTCATGTCAGCATTGAACGTATTTTCTTCATGATGACTCAAACAGGGGTCGATACGCCTCATCCAGTCGACCAGCAATGGGCCAAGAGAATAACAGCACACAGAAGCACGCCCACGCATCGCTATCCCTGGAACTGCTGCCAAATGTCTCGGCCAATCTGCGGTAATGCATGTCTAAAGATGGATTCCAGTTCTAGCCCTTTTCGTCTTTGTTTGTGTCTTCGTCTCATATTCAAGTGTCAACTTGTCGCAAGTCCTCTGCCCTCGTCTTATACAGCAATAACGACTATAAAGACGTCCTTCTTTTTCTTCTCTTCTTGCGACTTCAAATCCTACTCCATACATCTGTTTTCCATATCGCTTTCCTGACAGACCCACACTCCACAATGTCGGGCGACACTCTTCAGCAAGCCTGCCAGAGTTTCAATACGAACCTGGCCCGTTACCCTATTATGGCCGTTGGTCTGCCCTTGATCGGCGGCTTTCTCTCCGCGGTTCCCTCGCATCGTCATGTCCAGAACTACTACGAGACCTTACGGAAGCCAAGCTGGGCTGCTCCCTCTTGCGCCTATGTTCCCGCGTGGACTGTTCTTTACCTCTCTGTCGGCTATGCCTCCCACTTGGTTGCTCTTCGCACTGGACCTAACACTATTCCCTCGATCCGCGGCATGGCCAAGACTGGCTTGGGAATCTATGGAGTGAACATGGTTTTGAACTTTGCCTGGTCGCCCCTAATGTTCTGGAAGAAAAAGATTGGCGCTGCCCTTCTCACTGCCGGTGGATTGACTGTAAGGCCTTTTTGCTCTTTGATGTCATTGCGCGGTGTTTTACCTCTCTGTAGAGACTTGGCGGGTGAATGTTGGAGCTGCAGTAAGAAAATTCAAGAAGTTATTTCTCGTGTGCAATTCGTCTGGGCGGTCGGTCATGTTGTGCTTGTGGCCAATAGTCCAATATACAGTTCGTTCTAATGCACGATTCTACATGGCACACACACCTCTGCATGCTTCTGTTTTAGCAACACAGCCCCCAAATTCTGCTCTGCCTTGTGGTCTGCAAAGAAACTAACCCCGCAATACATGAATTTTATCTCTAACCGTCTATCACTGCACATAGGGCTCGTCTGTTGCTCTTGTCTACTACTTCTTCAAGGTTGACAAGCATGCTGGATACCTGACCATCCCTTATGTTGCTTGGCTTGGATATGCAACCGCTTTGAATTATGATATCTGGCTCAAGAATGCTCAAGGCCCTGCTGCTGATCATGCCCGCAAGCTGGGCAAGGACGTCAATGAGGCTGCTAAACATGCCAAGGGCGATATTAAAGATGCTGCCAAGCACATGAAGGAGGAGGCCAAGGACGCTGCACGCTCCGTTAACAAGCACACTAAGGATAATGTCAACGACGTTGCGGACAAGGTCGACAAAGAGCTCCACTAAGAAGACATCGTCTGACTCTACAACGCACATTAGGGGGTTTCCTTTCAGCTGCAGCGCCCGCTTTGTTACTTGTTTTTTTTTTTTGCAATTCTTAACAAGAGAATGGTTATATGTATACAAATCTTTTGGAATAAAACTAATGGTATAATGTAGACATTCATGGGCAGGGAAAGTAGTGTAAACCTGGTCCCTAATGGTGTCACCGAGAAGGCAACAACGTTTGAGCAAGGCTGCCACGGTCGACATAGAAATGTCTACAACTGCGCGCGCATTTTTCCGCACCCCTTTCGTCCCTCCTGCGTTGAGCTGGCTCTCTTGCGGCCAAGAGATTGAGCTTGGCTCGGTGTGGCGCTGATCGAAGGCTTTTTTTTGGCTGCTAATGCTGGCGCTGGTGTTGCTTGTGCTGCTTGTGATTGAGTACCTTTTCTTCTGCTGGAGAGTCGTCCAGGTAAAGAACCGAGTTTGAGGAAGTCGTAAAACTCTCCCAGTTTACGCTCGACAACAAGGTGTGCCTTGTCGTCCGGTAGCGCATGATGAATATGCGTAGCAAAGGATGGAGAAAATGCATGCCTGTACGTCGACAAGACGCTTACGGCCGGGTTCAAAGGTGTTGAAGAGAGCTGTGTGTTGATAGAATAGAGCTGCTTCGTAGCCTTTTCCTTCTAAGAAAGGGCCACAAGCCCAGAATGCCCATTGCGAAGCAGAGAAAGAAAAGGTTCCGTCAGAAACGATAGCGAAAGATGAGAACAGAAGTGTTTTTATGAGAATAGGAAGAAAGGAAGGCATGTTGGTCTCAGACGACTGTACTAAAAGGGTGTAAGGCACTCATGCCATGTACCTTCGCGTTTTTTTTCCAGGGGGAACGTGCGATTACTTGCATGCGCCGACTATGTCAGGAACAAAATTCCGTGTAAGCGTTTACATTGGGTTGCACGGATCTTCGATGTTTTCGAGATCAGATATACACCCGATCGTGCGACGGTCAGAACGGTCAAGGCACCATGGACAACAATGACCTTCCTGTGCCAGCATATGTTCCCCCGAACGTTCAACGCCAAGGAGCGGGGAGCGAGGAAGCGAAAGTAAAATACGATGCAAGGCTCAAGGAACTCTGGGTCACGATGGAAAACTGGATCATAAGAGACGTGAGCAGGAAGTGCGCCTTGGACTATATGCGGGCTACCGTAGCACTCTTGAAGGGAATGAATGAGATAGATTGATGCTGGGCATAGGCGCCAGTGATTATCCTGTATTTCCACTAAATGATTTTCCACCGGCGGAATGACGTCGCCTGTGGGGGATGTGCTGTGAAGTCCACAGCTACAGGCCCAGGAGCCCAAAAACGCGCATGAGGCACGAGAGGTTGGGGCAAAAAGGAGAGCACAGCCAAATCCACACACGTTTCAAACACCTCTTCTTCCTCGACCCTCTCGACCTACTTGACCCTCTTCGACCTCTTCGACTGCCCGGTGAAATGGAATCCCTCAACAAGAAGTCAACCCCGATCAGTTTTGCGGCCGTTGCTGGCAAGGCACCTGCCTCAGCCGTTGCCCCATCTGCTGCTGCTGCTGCCGCTGCTTCTGGAGGGGCCAGCGCTGGAGGTCCATCAGGAGCAGGGGCTGCATCCAAGAACGGGAGTAGCGCACCCAGCAACCAGTCCTCAGTCACGCAGGGATCCCAATCAGCCGCTCCCGGCTCAGCTTCTGGAGCAGACAAGGCAGGAACTTCGGGATCAGCATCTGGATCAGCATCCTCCGGCAGCATCGACTGGATCGTCGGATTGCATGTCAAGGTCGTCACCCAGGCGGATGAGATCTTTGAGGGCCAGATCTATGCTTACGACGTGACCATGAACTGCCTCGTACTTCATATCATACTCGTGGTCAACACACTCATTTTTTTCTTTCCGTATTTTGGCATTTGGGTCTTCTGTGTTTTGTGCCGTTGCGATGCTTTGCTTTACTGGTGTTTGAAACGTTGTTTCTCGATGGGTTTATCTTGCATGGAATATTCAACCAGTCTGTCTGGTTACTATCATACCATCCAAACGATCTGCTAAGCAGATCATCTCTATTATCCTTAACTCCGCGACGACATGCTTCTTTTTCTTTTCTTTTTTTTTTGTTTGCCTCTTTCCTTTAATCACAACACAGTGCCCATCTGTCCAGACGGTTCCTGCTACGACAACCCCCGCCGTCTACTACAGTCCTTCACTCGGAAACGCCGGTAGTGCGCCTCGACTTAAATACGACTTCAGGATTCTAAAGATCAACTACATCAAAGAAGTCACGCCCTTGCCTTCTGAATCGACATCAGCCAGCGGTGGTGCCGTCAACCCAGCAGAGGCCACCGACACTGATAAGGGAACGAAAGAGGAGGACAAGAGCAACACTAATAGCGCCAGGGCAAACAGCGTCTATGCCACGGCATTACCGGCTGTCGGATTTGTTCATTTGGACAAGATCCAACAGAGGGAACAGCAGGCCATTAGGGAGGCACAGGCGGCTGCTGCACGCATCGGTGTCGGTGTCTCGAGTATTGGACAGGATATTTTCGATGCCCTAAGCAAGACGTATGTATTCTCTGGTGTTCATCATGTATTTGTGCAACAGTTTCATTACAGAATGCTAATATGGACTCTTATCCTTCTCTAATGCTAGATTGCCATGCCGATGGGCAAAGGATTCGATTGTGGTCATGGACGAGGTTATTATTGCTCCACCATACGAGCCGGAAAATTGCAAGGCTAATGCCTCCTCATCATACACTCTTGCGCGCGTCAAGAAAGTGGTATGTATCTTTTTCTCGTTCCAATGCTCATGTGTTAAGTATGCCTCTACAAATTTGCTCCGCGCTGTTCATCCGTCTTATACCGATTCTTCTTTACCGCTTCTTTCCTGGCATTGATAGTTGGAAGGGGAGAGAATGCGTTTGGCCAACGGGCGTAAATAAGAAACGTGCGAATAAAATAATTGATACCATATCAGTACACGTTGCCCCGTTAAAGTGTTCTCAAAAAAAAAAGAGTGGCAATTCCTACTCAGCGCACCAATGTGTTCTTCTGTAATTAATATTATTATTGAAATATATGAGCGGCGATCTATAACTCATCTTTAATCTTGCTACCGGTCAGAATGCAGGTCTCTGGGTACGACGCATGCAGCAGCTCAACTGCGCGGTCAACGATCTCCCACTCATTATCCTCAGGTGCATCGGACCTGTTCCTGCTCTGCTGAAGTGTCTCACACCATGGACCGACATCGATGCCGACCTTGTCAACGATCACCATTGTCTCTTTGAGGGTTTCATTCCTGTCGTCAACGTCTCCGCCCCCGGGAACCGTAGCGTCCTCGTTATTGGTGCTCACAAACTGCATATCAGGGTCTGCGAAATCTCTCATGATGTTGACACACTTGCGTTTGAAGAGTGCATCGGTGCTCTTGCTGTAGACCTCTGCCAATCGCGAGATATCCTCATCCTGAATAAAAGCGTTGCTGCTGCCACGGACAAGACTGCCATAGGCAAAGATCAGACGACGAAGAACCTGCTTGTCTGATTCGGTCTCGAGTCGTGCGAGGAGGAACTTGTGAAGGTTGGCCTTGAATGCAGCACTCTGAGCCTTTTCGTGGTTCTTTAATAATAATAAAAAAGAAGGAGAGAAAACGCTGTTAGGATTGTACATGCCAAAGAAAACGGGATACATTGATATAGACTTCAAACAAGCTTGTACCTGAACAGCGGTACCGATGGTAAGTGCAGAATTGGAACGAACGAATCGTGCATCCTGGCATTCGGCGTCAGTTTTTCCTCCACAGTGCAGATGACCGACCAATGCCTTCAAACCCTCGCCCTCCGACAGTCGTAGTCCAAAATCCATATCGCTCGCCAGATCTGCCAATACCTCTAATGCATCAAGGACGAGGGTATTATCTTTGCTTGACTTGACAATGCTCAATTGCTCTGTGAAGGTCTGGTGATGACTCTGTTGACCCAATGGTACGACTGGTGGTTCCTGTTGCTTTTGATCTTGGTTTTTGAGATGTGCAAGTTCCGGAATAGAATCGAAGGCTGTCTGCAGGTTTATCCGGCTATTCTTTTCCAGTTCTGCAAAGTCGGGTTCGCCATCGAGTTGGGCGTCGATGGGTGGGGGCATGCTGGCAATATGGTTGTTCGATCCGATTTGATGTTGAACTGTTCCAGGGGTTTCTGTGTCGACAACGAGGATGGAGTTGGTGATATCTTTGTTCTGAACATCCTCGGGGTCCATGAGTTTGGCGTACTTTTTGTGCGTTTCAAAGTCCATCTGTACATGAAGACCTAATAAATAATGAAAGATCGAACATGAGTCGTTAGCACATCTATTACCGGACTTATTCAAAGATCGACCTGTGGGATATTCATTATTACCACTTGGGATCTCTTGGCCCTCAAGAACCTCCTGGAACTCTGTAGTGGGTCGAAATACTCTTGCGTAGCAGGCGCCATTATTACAAATGACCTCGGGCCTGGTGTTGACAGCTGCTTGGTTAGCAACGTTGGCTAGGGCCAAGGCTGCACAGAGTCCGAGGACAAGAGTGAGTTTTGAGGTGATTCGTGCCATGGTTTTGTGTGAATGAAGGTCGCCAAGGGGTGTGGTATGTGTGGAGATGAGAAAGAGGAGGATAAAAGCAAGATGAGAAGGGAGAAGGGGGGGTTTTATGATGGGGTCCCAGGCCAACACCGACTGGTCCCTCAAGGGATTTTCAACGTGGCACTGTCGTTGGGCTGCCAGCACATTTTGTCGCCACCAATCCCAACCTTCAATGTGACGTGTCAAACCAGGGCCCACTGGCCTGCGAGTCGCACTATTTCCGTGCAAGAAATATTTCAGAGGGAGATACGCGAAAGCAAAGAGTCATCATCATCGCCTTCCGCCTTTTGGTCCCTCCTGCAACAACCATCATCGTCCTCGGCAATCATCCAATCGATTTCATCTCCAGCCAATCTGACGGTCTCCATCCTTGCGCGTCATCTGGTCCATCCTTCCCAGCCAACACCACTGCCATAGGGGTCTAGGAACACACTCTATTCTTCTTTATCGCGACAAGTGAAAAAGACCTCGTCCTCACGTCTGGATAGACCTTTTCCCAACTCTTCAACACGCACCCCAACAGCACATCATGAGCACAGCAGACGTTTGCTACACTATCATCCACCAATCCGATGCTGATGAGGAGATCAGGCCTGAGACCCTCCGCCAGAGGATCGAAAAGGGCTCGGACGAGATCAAAATCGAGACCATGCGCAAGATCATCTTCACAATGCTCAACGGCGATCCTCTGAACTCGCTGTTGATGCCCGTCATCATGAACGTGATGCGCTCCCGCAACAAACAGCTCAAGAAACTCGTCCACTTCTACCTAGAAATCTGCCCAAAGACTAACCCCGACGGCAAACTCAAGCAGGAGATGATCCTTGTCTGGTAAGGCCTGCTGCCCTTGCCGCCAAAAAGGGTCCTTGTCCTGAAGGCGCGTGTCGCACTAATAGTGAAAATAACACTTTATCATCCTTAGTAACGCGTTGATGGGCGATCTGCAGCACCCCAACGAGTATATCAGAGGCTCCACTCTCCGCTTCCTCTGCAAGCTTCGCGAGGCCGAGTTGCTTGAGCCCCTGTTGCCATCTGCCCGTGCCTGCTTGGTATGTTTGGTACTGACAGGAACTGCTGGGCAACCTGACCATGAACACAGGTCTCTAATCGCCATCATCCATTGTCTTCTCGCAATCTCGTAGGAACATCGCCACTCGTATGTCAGAAAGAACGCCATCTTTGCCATCTACACCGTCTACAAGCACTTTGATTATCTCGTCCCTGACGCTCCCGAGTTGATCCACGGATTGCTGCTTCAGGTACAGTTCAGCTTCGTCTTCAGAACATATCGTAGCTGGATGAGTACTTGTCAATATTCTGACGAAAGGCGCTGATACATATCGTTGCTGCAACAATTAATAGGAGGCCGATATGGCGTGCAAGCGCAACGCCTTCGTCATGTTGGTCAACTGCGCTGCCCCTCTCGCTGTGGAATACCTGGATTCGGTCATCAACCAGGTCAACAGCTTTGACGAGCTCCTTCAGATGGCGATTGTCGATTTGATTCGCAAGGACTGCAGGAATAACTCTGCAAACAAGGTACAACATCTGCGCCTTCAATAATCTTCCGTAATTTGTGGAATCGCAGTTGGCTGATCAACTGGTTTTCATTTGGCATTCAGGGCAAATACATTCGCTGTATCTTTGAGCTGTTGAATGCTCAGTCGCATTCTGTCAAGTACGAGGCTGCCACGACCTTGATAGCTCTCACCTCCAATCCCGCTGCAGTCAAAGGTATCCCGCCTTGCATCTGTAAAATGTATATGATGTTTTCGTTTTGGATAACAATGGGATGTTCTAACAGCGCACAATAATACTTCAACTTTACCCTATAGCTGCCGCCTCGTGCTACATTGAGCTCATTGTCAAGGAAGCCGATAACAACGTCAAGCTGATTGTCCTGGGTCGCTTCGATGAGTTGCGTGGGAAGCATGAGAAGGTCTTGGACGACTTGGTTATGGAGATTCTCCGAGTTCTCTCAAGGTAAATATTATGCAGCATTCTCTGCAGGTTTTTATTTTGAACGAGCATAATATTGGCATGAGATATTAATCAGGTCTCTCTTTTCTTATCTTGTAGCCCTGATATTGCAGTCCGCAGAAAGGCGATCGGTATTGCCTTGGATATGGTTACGAGCCGCAATGTGGAAGAGGTCGTTGGATTCTTGAAGAAGGAGCTTACAAAGACCTTGGATCAGGACTATGACCTGAACATGGAGTACCGCCAGCTGTTGATCCAGTCCATTCACTCATGCGCCATCAAGTTCTCTGAAGTCGCTGCCAGCGTCGTTCACGTCCTCATGGAGTTTTTGGGCGACTCCAACAACCCTTCTGCAGTCGATGTTATCGCTTTTGTTCGGTAAGACGAGTGTCTCATTTGCTGTTTGTTAGCCACTGTTATAATATTCTCTTATGGACTAGCAATACTGACATCTCTTGATTCACTTGGCTCTCCATAGTGAGGTGGTCGAAAAGTTCCCCAGCCTTCGCTCTTCCATTCTGGAGCGTCTTATGGAGACTTTCCCCGAAATGAAGGCTGCCAAGGTCTTCCGTGGTGCCCTTTGGATTGTCGGAGAGTACTGCTTGGAGGCTCAGAATATCGAGGATGCATGGAGGCATATTCGCACGGGATTGGGCGAGATTCCCATTTTGGCATCGGAGCAGCGCCTTTTGGATGAAGCCCAGAACGAGGATAACGAGAGCAAGGCGCCCGAGACAAAATCAGCAGCACCTGCGAGACGTGTCCTGGCAGATGGAACCTATGCCACAGAATCCGCATTGGCCTCCTCCGTATCTGCACAGTCTAAGCTAGATGCTGTCAAGGCTGCTGCCAAGCCTCAGCTGAGGGCCTTGATCTTGGGAGGCGATTTCTATCTGGGAACTGCACTGGCTTCGACCCTGACCAAGTTGGTGCTCCGTTTCTCGGATGTGAGCCAGGACCATCGCCGCCTGAACTCTCTGCGTGCGGAGGCCATGTTGATCATGACTTCGATTATTCGTGTTGGCCAGTCCCAGTTTGCCAACTCTCCGATCGATGAGGACTCTTATGACCGTATCATGTCCTGCCTTCACGTGTTGGAGAAGTTTGGCCAGGATCCGTTGATGAAGCAGGTCTTCTTGCAGGATACCAAGGTTGTCTTCGGAAAGATGGTTCAAGCAGAGGAGAAGCGCAAAGAGGAAAAGAAGGCCAAGGACAACAAGGACACACGCGTGCAGGCCGACGACTTGATCACCTTCCGCCAGTTCTCAAAGGCCAAGCACGGAGATGAGGCAGACGAGTACGAACTCGACTTGACAAGGGCCACCGGCGCAGGAGATACCAAGGATGACTTGATGTCGAAGTTGAGCAGGGTCGTTCAACTTACTGGTTTCTCTGATCCCGTCTATGCAGAGGCCTATGTCAATGTGCATCAGTTTGATATCATGTTGGATGTATTGATCGTCAACCAGACCGCGGATACCCTACAAAACTTGGCTATTGAGTTTGCAACGCTGGGCGACTTGAAGTTGGTGGAGCGTCCAGGACAGCACACGATCGCACCTCACTCGTTCCACTCGATCAAGGCCAACATCAAGGTGTCGTCCACGGAGACAGGGGTGATCTTTGGCAATATTGTGTACGATGGACCAACAACGGGCGACAGCAACTGCGTTGTACTGAACGACATTCACATTGATATCATGGACTACATCAATCCGGCCTACTGTTCGGAGACACAGTTCAGGAGCATGTGGCTCGAGTTTGAGTGGGAGAATAAGGTCAATGTCAACACCTCCATCACGTAAGTTCCTCAAGACTTTGCTGATATACTGTTTCATTGGTCCACAATGCATATCTTTATACAATGGTACTAAGAGTCATTCCATTTCATTGATTATTTTCGTTAGTGATCTCCAACAATACTTGCAGCACATCATGAAGTCGACCAACATGTCGTGCTTAACCCCTGAGGCAGCGTTGTCTGGCGAGTGCGGTTTCCTTTCAGCTAACATGTATGCACGATCGGTGTTCGGCGAGGATGCATTGGCCAACTTGAGCATTGAGCGCCAGGGCGATGGTCCTATCACTGGCCATGTACGCATCCGTTCCAAGACGCAGGGTATTGCGCTCAGTCTGGGAGACAAGATCACATTGGCGGCCCAGAAGGTGGCAACCGTTGCTGCTTAAGGAATCCCTGTTTTGTAGTTCAATTGAATCAGCAAAACGAGGCGTGTTGTTCGGGAAACATGGCCAGTGTAGAGTTCCAAAGACATATGATAAAGTAATAAATTACAATCAATAGCAAACATCCGCACGAAACGAATGCTGTGTTGTGCACTCGGATGTATGACAAGCTTGTGGAGGAAATAAAGAACTTGCGTCGGGGGGAGGAGGAGCTGCGCCAAGACTTTCAGGAACGAAGCATTTGCCCCAAGAAGACCTCCAAACAAAAGTGCAGACCTGAACTGACAATAGCGCGTTGCTGGACGATGATCCCTGCAGGTAAGAGATATTCCCGCTTCGATTGGCATCGGGCAAGATAAATGATCTCCTTGCACTAACAAGACTATAAACGACGGACGAATCGGCCCTAGTCCGACGATTACCGACCAACGATTTTACCAAGCGCTCCAGATGAACTACGAGCAACTCCAGATGGACGAAGACATCATCAATACCATCCATTACTGCAGGGATGACCAGCACTTTTCCGAATTTCTCTTCGAGATCTTCCTGTATGAGATGGCAGCGGCGATCCCGGCTTCCAGGAACTCTACAGTCATGCGGTTCGATACTCTGGGGAGCGCAATCAACATAGCCGTATCCATGATGACATCTTACGGCGACGACCCTAACGCAGCTCCACTGAAGCCAAGACCATTCCACGACATGTACATTGCGAGTGCACCCTATGCTACCGGTCCTCAGTATGTCTATATGTATCTCAAGGACGAATGGCGAGTGAGCCGGTTGTTTATGAGGGACATTGAGATGGATCGTACCAAAACTATCCTCTCTCAATTCCCAACAACTTGTACACTGCCCCGATTGACACAGCAGGATCACGATCATTTCCAGTGGCAGTATGCAAAGATTAGTCCCGAGTTCCAGAATCGATACGCGGTCATTGTACATGCCTGTCGCAAATATGTATGGAGCCATCAGGGATCCAAAGGGGACTCTGTCATGATAAATGGAATGTGGGGGGTCGAGAAATATACCAGCAAGTACAACGCCGAGCTCATCAGGAAGTGGAGCGACGAAACAGTCGAAGCTCTTGTCTCGCCTACTTTAGGATCCTTGAACGGAGACGATGTGACGGAAACGGGCGAGAAATCAAAGTCGGCACTTAAGAAGGCAAAAAAGAAGGTCAAGAAGAACGGAATCCCAACAGGGCTGGAGAACGTGTCTGTGGTTCTGGAGGGCACTGGCATCAGCATTACTACCACTACCACCCCACCAACGCCAATACCCGGGCCATCGGTACCCTCAATGCGCGCGCCATCACCAACGCTACCTGCTTTTGAGATCGAAGAGGAGAAGGCTGAGGATGAAGACGAGGACTGGGACGACGATGAGGACATGATTATGGCTCGGGCTATTATTGCTCGTTTCAAGCAGCAATTGAAATACAAAAAATTCGTGGACGACCGGGCGTTTTTGGCGTCTGCAGCACAGGAGTATAAGATCCAACACGGCATCATCCTGCGATCGACCATGAATTCGTTCAACAACGCAGTGGCCAAACAACGAGGCGCGGTTGAAAGGGCACGACAGAGAGCCGTGGCCGAGGGCAAGAAACGGAAGGAATTGGAGAAGCCAAAGAAGGTGCCGATGGAGGTCAACATAAAGGCACTCTGTCGTCACGGGCAGGAGATCAATCAGGATCTGGCTAGGATCCATGAGGCTGTTGAGCAGGCGAGGGTGAGCATGGAAGCCAAGGCGCGTAATTTGGCTAGAAAAGAAGCCAAGGCCAAGGAGAAGGAAGCAGCGAAGAAGAAGCGGAGACAGGAGAGGAAGGAGCTGGAGGCTATGGCGGATCGGTCTTCTGCTGAGCTAGAAGGTTCAGGGTCTACCAAAGCAGATCCAGAGGCAAAGACCTCAGTGATTGGTGCAGCAAAAGGCAAGGTCAATGCCACTAGCCGCGACAAGAGCAACGTCAACAAACCTGCGGACAGGAGTAGCAATAACAGCAACAGCGACAGCGATAGAGCAAAAATTTATTCCAGCGAAAAAGAAATGACGGAAAAGGAGCGACAGGCGGAAATCACCAAGCACTTGAATGCTTTCTTGGATGAGCTCGTGCGGATGGCATTTTCGCGCGGCAAACTGGATATCATCCAAATAGGAGAACAACGCATTCCGTACGAGAGCCCCGCGGTATTGCGTACGTTCTTCGACAGCGAATTCAGAGCCATATTGGAAAAAAGTCGCGCATCATTTAATTCCGCCCTCAGCACCATCACCAAGGATCTCGTTCGTTGGGGAGTAATTACTGAGGCAGAAAAAGAGCAATTGGACAAGGCTACGAAGAAGAGGACACAGACGAGCCCACTATTTGCGAAATTCAAGGACGACTCCATCCTCCGCGAGCAAATGGAGGACGAATACGTCGAATGCAGCGGCTACTTGGAACACTGCATTGGTGAGAATGTGTACGATATCGATGGATATTCGACCAATATTTCTCCGGATGGCATCGATGTCACTACAGCCCATGAACTCGAAGAGCACTATTACGACCGCTATGATTATGGCTATGGCTTTGATGGTGACGACGACTACGACTACCACGACGATGACGACGATGACTATTACTCCTATGATTATGGGAGTCCTAAGTATCGCGAGGGTCATGGAAATTATCTCAGCGGGCACAAAGCGATCATGAAACGAGGACCAAATGTCAATGGCAAGGACAATTGTACCAGGATTGGCGCGCAGGAAACTGGTGATGTCCTCGATCCAGATAACGATTCACCGGCAGGCGAGGCAATCAATGACGAATCAGTGGAGCAGGAATATCAGCAGAAGCGAGAAGCAGCAGAACAGGCTGCGAAGGAGGAAGCTGAACGCGTCGCACGAGAGGAAGCAGAGAGAGTTGCGCGAGAGGAGACCGAGCGGGTCGCAAAGGAAGAGGCTGAACGTGTCGCACGAGAAGAAGCTGAGAGGATTGCGAAAGAAGAGACTGAGAGAATCGCACGAGAAAAGGCTGAGAGAATTGCAAAGGAAGAAGCCGAGCGCGTCGCGCGAGGAGAGGCAGAGAGGGCTACACGAGAAGAATTCGAGCGCGTCGCGCGAGAGGAAACCAAGCGGATCGCCAAGGAGGATGCTGAACGGGCTGCGCAAAAGGAGATCGAGAGGATCGCAGAGGGAGAGGCTGACAGAGAAGAGGCTGAGCGGATAGCTCGTGAAGAGACCTACCTCATCGGACAGGAGCCGCTCAAATATAGTAGACGAGAAAAGGCCAAGACAGAATCAGAACTGACCGATATGGAAGTGGCCGATCGGATTGACAAGGCTATGGCCGGGAAGGTCGCGAGAGCGATTGAGGCTGAGAGGGTCGCAAAGGCTGAGCTAGACAAGTACAACAGCGAGCGGGTAGCGAAACTTCGGGCCGCAAATTCCGTCAAGGCAACACAAGCGGCGACGTTGAAGGCTCTACAGGAAGAAGTCAAGGCAGCTCGTCAGCGGGAGTCTGATGCCATCCAGGCGGAGAAAGCTATTCAGCTCAAGCTCACCACTGATGCTGCTACTGTTGAGGAGGAAAGGAGGCTGGAATCGGAGGTCCAGGCCCGGGCGGAGCGCTTCAAGGCGGATCGGGTTCAAGAGATCGCGGAGATGCAGCGCAAAGCCAAGGATTTGGTTGAGCAGCAACATCGTAATGAAGCGTGGAGATATGGCAAGGAGGCTGGAGAGCGGTACGACAAGGAGAGACAGCGACTCAGGTTGTGCGAGGAGCGTAGCGAGCTATTCAAGGCAGATCGGCGCAAGGAGATCGAGGATATGATTCTCGCAGCAAAGACCTCGTATGAGCAAGAGGCCGCCAAGCGTGTTAAGGAGGAAGCAGATCGACTGTTTCAGGAGACGATGGCGCAGCCCAGGAAGGACCTGGAAGAGGCACGCCTGGCGCTAAAGAAAGCCAAGGAGGCGTTGAGTAAGCACAACAAGCAGGTGGGGGCTGAGATTAATGCAGACCGGCAGAGGGCAGAGAAGACGATTAGCGCGCAGAGGAAGTATGATATCCTGAAGACAAAACGAAAGAACCTGGAGGCGGAGAGACAAGCAGTAGTGGCTGCGGCAGGCCGCGGCGAGCCTGTCAGGGTGCCGAACAATGGAGCGGTCTTTTTCTACTGGCAGGGGATCGACTTTACGCTCTCGCTGTGGAGGCCACCGACGGACCGATTTCAGGGGATGGAGACCATTATCCAGACCCGGTATCCTGTAAGTCTCTTGGATGCCACTCCTTTTGGTTGGGATCTTTGGCGTCTGGCTTCGTCGGTACTAATGAATAAGTATCGAATGATTGCTGCTCGCTATACCTCGTCATGCTAGACTCTCCTTCCAAGCGCAGAGTCCATCAACATGCGACACACACTCCTTCTACGACTGCAGAACTTGTTCGACCTGGAATTCCCAGGCAAGGGGCTTATACTGAATCCGTTCGGGTAAGGCTTCATCAATGCCTTTTTATTGCCTTTATACGTCCTATTGATCCCCATGGAAATCATTCTCATTGTCCATTCTGGTGCTATAGGTCGTATGTTACAGGATTGGACAGCGACTGGAGCGATCTCGATATATGTATCTACAGTGAGAACTTTCAGCCCAATGCGACCCACTCCGACGTGACATACCTTGCGGATTTTATGCGTCGGTCGATGATGATGAACGTGGTTGCCATTACAGATGCCAAGGTTCCTATCGTCAAGTTCACGGATCCAACCAGCGGGATCGCCTGCGATATGAATGTCCAGCACCCATTGGGCATCTACAACTCGGACCTTACCAAGGCTTACCTCGAAATTGACCCAAGGCTGAGCAAGTTCCTGTACTTGCTCAAGCATTTCGCAAAGTGCCACAGCATCCTCGACGCTTCTGCGGGTTATCTATCCTCCTATGCATACATTCTCATGGCCATTGTGTTTTTCCAGGATCAAAAGGACGCTTCTATCCTGCCAAGACTCCAGCTCAGGAGTGAGCAGCCTCGCATGTACAATGCGCTGGGCAAGTCTCGCAAGCGCATGCCAAACTTTGGTAGCTGTCTGTCGGATGGGTCAATCCCGGTGGTGTATGCATCTCAGAACAACCAAACATTCGACTGCTCGTTCGACACGCGCATAGATGCCTACAAATCGTATGGGTTTCATAACAAGAAGACGGTCGCTCAGCTACTATTCGAATTTTTTGAGTTTTTTGCGAGGAAATTTGATTATCGGACTATGGAGGTGAATGCGAAGAATGGATGCGTTCAGGAGAGACCGTCGCTGGCGGGGGAAAAGAAGGCAGCTGAAAGGGCTCTGAACACGGCAGGAGCAGCAGCGGCTGTTGCCGCCAACAGTGCCGGTTCCGGAAATTCTTGTTCATATGACTCTAAGAGGCGGCTTTGGCTAAGCGCTGCAGAGCAAGCATATTACAAGGATCTGGATGAGCACGGTGGCCTGCCGTCCGGTGCTGTGCCGATGCCTGGAATTGCTTTGGCAACCTCCAGTTCGGTCTCTGCCAACACCGCTACTTCCGCGACCACGACAGTTAATGGTACAATCACGACGATGAGTACTACGACTACGACATCGAGAAGTGGATATTACGACCGGTTCGGGACCGAACCGTTCTTTTGTGTGATGGATCCTTTTGTAGCGAACCGTAATGTGGCAGGTACTTGTCGTGGTGAGCGTTTTATCAAAGTTTGGAGGTGCTTTGACCATGCGTATAAGTGCTTGGCCAGAGGTAAGTTCGCGAGAGCGTTCGAGCCCTTAGACTCCAATAAGTAGCAATAGATCTCGATCTCCCCCCTCTCTTGAAACCTTTTATTGCCATCGTAAAGCTCAAATAAATAAATGTCTGTCTGTATTTTTTGGAGATCTACTGTTTTATGGAATGCGATGTGATTGGACCGTTCGCGTTGTTCACCAACGCGGTTAACGCACGGAGGCTGTGCGAGTAAAATAACCTGAACACGCGACACGCGTCCAATAGAGGAGCAGCAGTCTATTTAGGTCGTCTGCAGCCGAAGCATCGAAAATGGTCTACGCGTGAATTCTTCTGCTACCTACTACAGCACTCCCCAAAAAAAAAAAAAAAAAAAAAAAAAAAGCCGCTCCGGCCCATGTTGTGCAGTACACTTGCGATGGCCGTTTGGTTAATACTACTGCAGGAGCGTGCACTTCCTTGTATTCTTTATGCCTGAGCGAGGCCAAGCGCGGTCTATTTTCTCAGCACTTTCCGAGCCATGGGTCGTATATATTCATTCCGCGCTTGGGCTAGATTGCAATGACGCATAACTGCATACCGGAGGAAGAAGAATCACTCTTTTGTTCATTGTCAGTGGACGCGCTGAGAGGACCAAGTGCATGCTTGCCTTGACACCCTTACATCTTCTTCTACACCGCTCTTCATCTAACGGGCCTCTTTTTTCATTATCAGCACCCCTCGCTATCCCTATCTGTGGATCCCTGATTCGTTCTGCTGGTGCTTATGAGCAGAGTAATTCTATCTGCGATCCTATTTTTTTCAGCCCATACAGTCTGCATTCGTATCTCCACCATATTCCATCCTCAGCTACAGTCAGCAATCCAATCTCCCCTCTCTCTCTTCGCCCTCTGCGCATACCCTCGTCCTTGTCTTTTGCTTTCTTTTTTTTTCTCTCTCTCTCGCTCTCTTTGCTGCAGCATCTTTCCAGCACAGGCATAAGGTCCTCTCTTTACCTATTCCTTTTCATATTACTGCAGTCGAACAAGCAATGCCCCTCCTGTCGTTCAGCAACCCACGGAACAAGGCGACGTTGATCGCCGCGCTATTACTGCTGGAGTTTATAGCTATTCTCTGGTTCCGGGACTCAAGGCCTAGAAGCGAGAACATCTCTCGCACATCTATCCTCAACCGAAGTTCAAGCCATGATCAGTACCACGTTCAGGACGATTTACAGTATCGGCAGCAACAGCAACACAATGGAGAGCATCATCAAAGACATGAAGATGGCCATGGAGATCGGGTCGGTGCTAATACAAGGGAGCCCAAAGCAGACCTCAGGGCAAGAGGATGGAGTATCGAAGATGGAGAGGAACAAAAGGACCGCCGCTATCACCACCATCATCATCATCACCACCAACATCAAGAGTCAAAACACCCCGCGGCAACCGTGGCTGGATCTATAGACACAAAGGATGGTAGCAATATTCCGGCAACAAAAAAAAGCGCGCTTTCCTCGTTTAAAGAGCATATTATCAAGTCATCCTCAGCACTTGGGCCTTCAATCAAAGACGAAAAGAACACCATATCCAGTAAATTCATCACCAGTACAGGTAACAGCCGGAGTAGTATCAGGGGCATGGTTAGAAAATCCTCCAGAAAGTCAGCGAACAAGCAGAAAGGATATCCTGCAAAGAGCCATAAACATCGCGTCCAGGCCAAGAACCAGCGCGCAGGATTCAAATCGACCGAGGAACGGAAACTGGCCCAACTAATCCCAGCACTAGATGAGAACGGGATGATCATCGAAAACCATTTTATTTCTCCGCGAGATACAGACGGCGATGGGACCCCGGATTCCTATGTTCTGCTGCGCCCAGCGGCCGATTCGGAGTACATGATGGACATCGGGCTCTTTGATGATGAGATCGTGGCACCTGTACCGGCGGCCTTGTCCTCAGAGTTCACAGCGAGAGACCCTGCAGCCACCATCATTACTACAGCAGCATCTGCGATGGAGGTACCTGTCGAAACAGCTATTTGCGAAGATGCTGGCGCCGGCCCCAACACATCGTCTCCTTTGTTGTCTGCGGCCCCATCGATGTTAGCCGCATAGCGCTGAACCTATACTAATACCTTTATCAAATAAAAGACGCTGTAAAACATGATATCTCTGAGTAGAGTGCTTCTAATCTCAGGAACAAAAACAGAATTCGGTGTAGCATATTGACAGCACTCCCCCTAGGAACTTCACTTTTCCAAAGGGCAACCGTATGCCATCGTCTTTGGCCATCAATTTTTGACGCTTAAGGAATCCAAGAGCTCATCAAGTAAAAGGTCATCCTGATCCTGACCGCGATTCAAAAAGTATGACCTCTTGGGTGAATCACACCTCGGCAACGATGCAACCTCAGACACACACGGACCGTGGCTCGCCCGTCCCAGGGTCCCATCACTCCGCTCGCACCGGCAGGAGTGCATCAGTCATGCAGCATCAGCAACAACAACAACAACAACAACAACAACAGTTACATCTGCAGCAGCAACAACAACAACTCCACTTACAACAACAGCAGCAACAACTTCACCACCACCAACAGCAGCAGCAGCAGCGGCAGCGCGTAGTAGCGCATGGCTATCCCCAACAGCAGCAACAGCAGTTCGTCTTCCAGCCTCCGAAAGGCTACCCCATGATGCAACATCCAGCCCCACCGCTACAGCAACACCAGATATCGATGCAACAGCACCAGCATGCTCAGTTTCGCCAAGCACCGCCCGCCCAAGTCCATCACCCCGCCAATGGCATACCTATGCACGCACAACCTCCCCACCATCAACCACCAGCCTTCATCCAGCACCGTTCATCCAGCAACAACAATACCCATGTTGGAAGCGGGCTTCACAGACCCGGAACCCTGGCGTCGATGCCGAATGTCCAAGGAACCTATAGCACCTACGGGTCTCGGATCCGAGAACTCGGTAACGCGTTAGTGTTACCACCTGCGTTGGGACGGAAGGCCAAACGGGCCGCGGTGGCCTCGATGTTGGAATCGGATGAGGACGATTGGGATTTTGAGGAGGACGGGTCGAGGCGGGGCACGCCTAGTCGGATGCAGAGGCAGTTGGAGAAGGAGAGACTGGAAAAGGAGAAGAAGGCATGGGTTCGTCGGCCGAGGAAGACGCGGCATGTTTATAAGTATGCTTTTTTTTTTATATAATCAAAAAAAAAAAAAAAAAAAAACGCGGCAAAAGATACTAACATTTTTGGTTGTTTTTTTTTTTTGCTCCGCACCCCCATTATCGTATGCGACAATAGTCCACAGGGTGTCCTAGAAGCGAGTGCGGATCAGGACGCGATCTTGGTCCCGATCCGGTTAGAAATCGACACGGACGAGGTCCGACTGAGGGACACGTTTACCTGGAACGTAAACGAGCAATTGGTGTCGCCCGAACAGTTTGCAGAGATCCTGTGCGAGGATCTGGACCTGAGCGTGATGAAATTCGCACAGGAGATCGCCCAATCAATCCGGAACCAGATCGCAGAATTCGAACCCATCGCCGAAGTACTCGTACCGAACGAGGGGTCGCGCGTTATCATCCAGGTATGTCAAAGAGAACGTAAAGGCAATAACGAAGGGAAAAAAAAAAAAAAAAAAAAAAAAACTCACGTACACTCACAGCTCGACATAAACGTCGGAGGCGTCAACCTACGCGACCGATTCGAATGGGACGTCGGGTCCGAATTGACACCTGAGGAATTCGCCCGACAACTGGCCGCGGATCTCGGCATTGGCGGAGAATTCGTCTCGATGATCGCACACGAGATCCACGAACAGATCTATCGGTTCAAACAGGATCGGCTCCTGGACCGAGGCGGACTTTTTGAACGGGAACCCCTGTACTCTGGATTCAGACCGGTCGACGATGCAGAGAACTGGTGCCCCGCTCTCGAGACCCTCACGGCGGAGGAGCAGGAGAAGGTCTTGGAGGCGAGTGATCGTAGTGTTCGGTAAATTTTTTTTTTTTTTTTTTCTTCCCATTTGTCTTCTCCATTGTACTATTTTCTGTGCGGACCAAAAAGAAAAAAAAAATTAATATCGGGTATAACTTTATAATAGTCGAAACCGAAGAGAGACATCACGCTGGAACAACCGGCGCAGAAACAACGCTGGTGGAGGCGGTATTGGCGGCGCTGGATATGTGGGCAAATACTTCCTCGGTGGCACCACAGGGAGCGGTAAACGCGGACGACCCTCCAAGAGCACAGTCATGAACATGGAGCCGTATGAGGGCTGGCAATGCCAACAATGCGGACTCGCTGCGTTTTCAACCGTCGTTCTGCGGTCCGGTCCCGCCGGTGAAAAGACGCTGTGCAACACGTGTGGTCTTTACTGGAGTGTTTACGGAACCTTACCCGAGGACAGGAAAGATCTGTTTGTGTTCCAGAGCGATGAGAAGGCGGGCGAGGCAAGCGAGGCGAAAGTAGACGATGCAATTGAGGGGTCGATACAGCAGGCAACTGAGGTTGTAGAAACTGCAGCAGCACCAGTAGCATTGGCAAACTGAATCGATGACAATAAAGAACCATACCCTGCCCATCCTCATGCTAGTATGGAATGAGCGATTGATTAAGAATTACGATAGTGTATTTTGGCAATTTCGTCTTCTACTTCTTTTGTGATTCGAACCTAACATCGATAGCTCCGTTAACTGTGCTAAGATCAAATCGAGGAACGACGTTCCGGGGCTCTGTACCATCCGCAGAGACCCAGCCTTGAATCTCGTCTCTTTTAGGCGTCGTGTACTTTATGATATCGGTACTGTTGTCCGGTAACCGAATCGATTTTTTTCCGAACTGCGTGACCAACTCGAAATGTCCCCAGAAGCGCTGCACCTGAGATCAGAGGATATATATATATAATAGCGAAAGTTAGCACAGGAAAGGAGCGCGCTACCAAAAGATATGACCTTTTTTTTTAAAAAAAAAAAAAAAAAAAAAAAACAAGGGTCCTTACCAAGTTCAGATCAATATCTCCATTCAGAGTAGTGAGGAGGATCATCAAGTTCTCCGGATCCCAATCCTTATGCAACGGTTTCGTATCCACGGTCATCTCCACCCGCCCATTCAGGGTCTCTGCCTCGATCCTTCCAGCGCTACGCAGGTTCACTGCCCGAATACGTCCATTCGCGACCTTAGCAAAGAACCCCTTCGACACGACCGCTGTCTCGACATTGACGCCGCCGTTTGAGACCGCAAAATGGACCTCCTCAAAGGTGGCCTCGATCGAATTAGGGTCCATACTCATGACCAGTTCCCCGTCCGCGACCTTAACATCCAATTTCCCCGTCCCGGGCCGGGCGCGTGGATACGTGATCTCGACATTCGCTAGGGCACAGCTGTTGTGCCGCATAAGTCGTTTCTTGGTCTCCTTGTCGTTGCTATCTCTGAGGTGGATGCGTGAGAACACCGACTGGGCTCCGTCGCGCGTAAGGGTTTGGGTGAGTTCGCGGAGGAGTTCTGTGGAGGCTGCGCGTAAGACGACACGAATGCGGATGCTCTCGTCGGTCGCGTCATCTGATTCCTTAATGAGAACATTTCCTTTCTGGAAATGTCGCAAAAAAAAAAAAAAAGGCTTCAGCACATAATCAAGAGGAAGCTAGCGAGAAGATACACTGCTGAATTATTAGTGTTCGTAATGACTTACAATATTATCGACGATATCCAACTTGAGCGAAAGGTCGGGTGCAGCAGACACGAACTGGGTGTCGATGCGCGATACGCCCTCTTCGGGGATCCAACAAACATCATCTGGTATTGTCTATAGTGCACGCGCCATATATGTAGATAAAAAAACAACAAGCAATCGTTACAACAATGTCAGCATAGACTATGGACATACGCTCCCGGGAGGGTGAGACATTTTTATCCCTCGTAGCAATTGATGCTAAAAAAAAACAGAGGAACAGATCGACTTACGATAGACATCTTCAAGTAGGAGCACAAAAAGATTATCAACAAGATCGCCAAGCAGCAGAAAGAACAGCAGCTCTGCGACCTCTTCTTTCTCCGCTTGGTGCCTAGAGAATCCAAACAAAGACACGACGAGGCAGTGGAGGATGAGAATCTATCAATGTTTGGTTGTCGAATGACCTCATTTCCCATAGTCTAGCACCCTTGCTACGATAGACTATCTCAACTGTGGCACAGACATATGGAAAATGCACCGAGCCCACGTTCTTTGCTTCTTTTGGAAACCAACCTCTCCTTGGTTCACAAAAAACAAGGAAACTGCACCGCATTCGTCCACGCAGAAAAAAAGGCAATAAAAAAAAAGCGCTCTTACGTCTTTGGGCAGGCACGTCGTCTTCAGAATTGCCATACATCTGGGGAAGGGAATAAGTCCTATAGTTGTCGTCACTACTAAGATTCGAGTGCGGATTACCGATCGCCCCATAATTGTTAGGTCCAGTTCCCAGATAATATGGTTCCTGCTGCTGCAGCTGATGCTCTTGGGGTGGGAGCAAAGGTTGATGCTGTGTTACCGGTGGTCCCAAAGGCGGTGTCGAGTAGGGCACGTTGTCCTGTGGGTTAAACTGTGGATGTTGCTGTTGTTGCTGCCGCTGTTGTTGTTGCTGCTGGCGTTGTTGTTGCTGCTGCTGTTGTTGCTGTTGTTGCTGTTGTTGCTGTTGCTGTTGCTGCTGCTGTTGGTGCGGATATTGTTGCGGCGCCTGTGATGGAACCGGTCGTGTTACTGGAGGAGAGGTCTCCTGTGAATGTCGAGGTGCAGATGGAGCCGGAAACGGGTCTTTTGTATACATTGGTGGGGCATCCGCTGGAACTATTTTTTGCATACATATTAACGTCAAGAATGTACAGATGTCGCGTTAACATAGGCTATGCTATCAATTGAGATCCGAGCGAGGTGCTAATTGATAAAGCGGGGAATGAGTCCTGAAGCTGGGACATTACTGTGGAAAGGTGCTGGGTACTCTTCTGGAGGGACTGGGCTACCACTGATGTCCTGATAGGGTGTAAACGCGGTGGAGGCGTATGGGGATTGGCTTCCAAAGGTCGCTTGCTCGTCCGAGGGACCTGCCCAGCCGTTCTGGAATAGATTCTTTTTCATGTCGGTGCTCATGGCAGCCAAAGAAAAAAAAGGTGAATGAGGAGGTCAAGAGAATGGAGATCGAGTGATGTTGCTGAGAAGACAAGAGCAAGAGCAAGAGCAAGAGCAAGAGAAAAGTCAATGACGACGCCTCAGGCGCAGAGAAGAAGAAAACGCTTGGCGTTTGGAGAATTACTCTTTTAAGGTTTTTACACGGCTTCTGCTCCGTGTGGAGAGAAGCGCCCTTTCTTGACATCAATAATGCCTGCATACATTTTCCTGCAGGCTGCTACCAGGACCAAGCAACGCTGTTCTTTCATAACAAAAACTCATTGCTGAAGACTGTGGATGTTATTTGTTGTACCAAAACACTTCTGGTTCTGGGTTTTTTAATGTACGGTACTATGTATATGATGTAAAAATTGCAGATGGAGCTGGTATTATTATGGATGCTGCCCGAGTCCCATATTACTTGGTGACCTTGACACTGTATGACTTGTAGGGACCACCCATGCGCTTGACAGTGGAGGTGTCCATCTGGTGGGTGACTGTGCCGCTGCAGTTCTTGCCCGCGTAGAAGCGGATCTGGGCAACGGGACCGCTGCTGTACTTGACAGAGCCAACGGTGCCGAGGTTATGGTTAATGCAGCCGTAACCGGTCACCAGCTTGGACTTGCCACCGAGATTAGTCTTGGCAAAGACGGTGAAGGCGGGCGACTTTGAGGCGGGCGGCTTTGAGGCAGCCTCGACGGTCGAGACGGTGGCGAGGAGCGAGGTGAAGATGATGGCGAGGATGGCCAGGCTGAGGGCGTTGAGGGTTGAGAACTTGGCCATGGCTGTAGTGGTGAGCTGTGGATGTGTGGTTGGAGTGAGGAGGAGCGGAGAGGGAGTCGTCGATGGACTGTGTGAGGGGTGTATATGTGCAAGGTAAGGTAAGGAAGAGTGGAGTGAGGTCTGAGGTTTCTTTGGTGAAGAGAAGGGCGAGGAGTGTTCGGGCACAGGGCGGTATTTATATGAAACTGTCAAGGTTTTGTTTGTTGTGATTGGTTTGGATTCTCAATAATAATTATGAGTCCAATTGCCATCTCTTTTGTTTTCTCTGGCCGAAAGGGGTTGCAACATCCAATTCTCGCTTGTTTCAGGAGACGATGAAGGAAATGTCTTCATTGACCCAGCACGCTGTCCAGCAGGACTGTTTGCTGCCCTGACTGGGCAACTCGAGTGCGTGAAGAGAGGGGGGGCCATTCGATGACCAGGCCTTGGATAGACGGGGAGGTGTTCTCTCATAACCTGCGCACGAAGTTCCCTATTTGTCGCTTTCGCTCCCTGCGCCGAGCCAGATGACCCTAATCATCTCCATTTTGCAATTTCAAACTCCCGGGAGAGTGGCCCAATTAAACTAAATTTCTTTAAATTGCTGGTACAGTTCACAAACCTTTAGCGTCCAATCGATCGGAGACTTTATACCGCCTTAGTTTACATTAAGAACCTATCGTCCTACAATCCATAGTCCTCGTCAGAAAGTCGCGGGACAACATCTTGATAAATTGAAAGGCTATTTCCAAATGTATTATCCCGCGACTTTCTAACGAGAACTCCATGGTCCTGTGCTCATCCTGTCCCTAGTACTACCGACACCATTCCCAATGCTCCATCAACGGGCGCAACAATGTTCAGATAAACATACAAGAACACGAGGATTAATAGAAGCATTGAGCTGCAGACGTCCTACGCGTGTCGAATCATAAAAGCCAAGGATAACTCTGTCAACAGGCCGTAATGTCATTTGTCAAACGTCGTCTTCTATCGGGACCAACACACTCAAGACTTGCGTTTTAGGGACAATCGAAAACATACTACAGGAAAAAAAAAAGTGGGCAAGTGCGCTCAGACTCCGAAATACTCTACTAGGAGTATTATTATAACTTTAGCAAAGCATGCTGTCGCGTCAAAACCCCTAGCGTAAAGAGACTTTGTAAGAAATACATTCAACGCACCTGAATTAAAACCACAGCCATCCAGGACCGACGCCGGAATAGATGGCAGAAAAGGCGGTCAACCTCATGCACCAATGACTAATGAGAAGGATGAATGAGAAGGCGAGAACGATGTGGGTCGCAAGGCATGGGCACGCAGAAGGCGCGATTAAACCAATACCTGGCATGAAAAAACTGTATGGCCACACCTTACCGTGCAACATTAGCTGTGCACTCTGTCGTTTAGTGTCATACTTTCCATCTTGCGGCCCAGCCTACAAAAGGCAGGGCGAACAGAACATTCCAGTACAGTGTCACGCTGGCCCCCGTCCAAAAAGCGGATCTAGGCAATGAAGAACATGAAGTAGCTGAAGGCTGGGGACAAAAGACTCTAGTGGCGAGGACGTGGAATTCCTCATGTACCTATCAGATCTTTCGAGCCATGAGTCGTAGATGCATGCAAATAAATAATGATATACTAGTAGTGTCCTGATTGACCGTATCGGCTTTCTTAAGCTATTGGTTCGAATGAGACGCGTGATTCTTCAAGATGCGGTCCTCCACATGGAGCCCAACAGCGGCGGTCAGACATTGAGCAGCGAACTCTTCTCTTCATTACCTCACATATCCACTCTTCATTGCTTGTCGACTTTAAACAATAACTCCTGCAAGCAATGGAATCACATCGACAACAGGCGAACGTCATCGACTCCAACGTGCAAGTCAACAACCATGTTATGGCTAACGCGATCAACACTATCAGCAAGCAGACGCAGAGTTTCGAAATGAGAATTCGATCAGAAATGAAAGCATGGTGGGAGATAAGCCAGAGGCAGTTGGCGCAGGTACAGGGGCAGCAAGAGACGCAACAGCAGTACACCGAGTGCCTGTTTATGTGGTACCAGAATATATAAAGGTCTCTGGAATATATATCGGCCCCCATTCCTCCACCCCCTTAACATTCATTCCTGTGGGCAACGGCACTTCTGCCCAGTTGCAGCAACAGCAGCAGCAACAGCAGCAGCGACAGCAGTACCCACTGTACCCGCAGCACCCGCTGTACTCGCTACAACAGCCGCAACACCATCATGAACTTCAGCTACAGCATCAGTACATTCCTCATCGGACATCCTCAAAGACTGATGACAGTAACAAAGGATACTTGATACAGAGCGATAATGGGCGTGGACATCTGTCTGTTCGGCAAACCTGGGATGAATACCGTGGTCCAGTGGCGGAAGCAAAAAGGCAAGACTCGGCCTGGCCGTTTACCAAAGCGCGTAACAGGGCGTACCATCGCAGGAGCCAACTTGTCAAGTTGATTATGGCGAGGGCCGAAAAGGAAAAGCAACCAATCGAGACCATTTTGGATACCTTGACAACCAGCTGCAAAAGCCGATCTATTAACTTTGTTTAAGAACAACTTCTTGTAAGCAGCAAGGAATGAAATCAGGTGCAGGCGCAAAGACTTGGAGCACAGTTAGCACAGCTTTATCGCGGTTTGCAAGAGCGCAAATAAATGCTAATCGTTTTTGTGGCAACTTTATTACTTTTACTTTGTTACGAAAGTATTGATAGAGGCTGGAGCAGAGGGTAGGGCGAGGAACAAGATATGGTATGAATGGTGCTTAAACAGAACGAGAGGGAGTGACACAGAGAGAGAATCAGAATCTTGAATCATGAGTAGCATGGTCGATGGCAGGAATGGAGAAGAGCAGGGAATAGGGAAGGGAAGGGGAGGGAATGACAAGGAACAAGGAGGCAAGGACAAGAAGACAAGGGAGGGAATAGGTGAAGCGACTCTTAGGAACCGGGAAAAACAGACGTGTCTCTCACTCAGGAACGGTCAACGGAACTATATTGTCAAGTCTCCACAACTAAATTTTATTATCTTCGTATACCACACCTACTGGCCTTGGACAGCTGATACAGTGCCCAAGCTCTTCCATACGAGATCAAGTTGTTCCTCGAGTTTAAAGTGGTCAAAGTCGAGTTGGTCTTGAGTGCCTCGGACAGCGCCAGAGCTCCGTTTTCCCTAATCGAGTTGTACTGCAAGTCTAAAGAGGTCAGAGTCGAGTTGGTCTTGAGTGCCTCAGACAGCGCCAGAGCTCCGTTTTCCCTAATCGAGTTGTACTGCAAGTCTAAAGAGGTCAGAGTCGAGTTGGTCTTGAGTGCCTCAGACAGCGCCAGAGCTCCGTTGTCCCCAATCGAGTTGCTCTCCAAGTTTAAAGTGGTCAGAGTCGAGTTGGTCTTGAGTGCCTCTGCTAATATTTCAAGCTCATTTACTCCAATAAATGTAGCATTCATCTCAACGGATAACTTTTGAAGATGAGATGGCCTTTTTGATTGAAGGTTGGAAAGCCTGACGAAATCCTTTGGAAGAACAATATGAGCTACTCTCATAGTTGTATGTTCCGTGATGCGAGCGAGCACTTCATATCGTGTGGATGTCGAAAATAGTTTGCTGCCGAGGCTTGTTCGAAAGTATGAGAGATCAAGTCGAAGTATCGATACTCCTGATACCTTGAGTGCATCCTTGAATGCCACAAGATCACTCGTGGAGCACTCCCAATCGAATGAGATATCCAGGTCATAAACACGTCTTGCTTTGGCTAGGGCATCGAAGAACTCTGCGGCCCTTATTTTGGATTGAAGTTTGATAGCTACTTGACCGAGCTGCCGATCATAGCTGCCGCCATTCACCTCGACTGCATTTGCGAACGCTTGTTGCTCCTTTTCTTTATACGTCGAACGAAAGTGGTCGAGACACACCCATTTGACATTGCCTGTTTCAGTCGCGATCCTGTACAAATTGCCAAGTTTCCTGCCGTCATCATTGGTTCGAAGAAATGTCTCCAGCTGCCGGAGATCGGCTCCTTCAAGCGCCTCGTAGTCATCGATGGTGTTGATGTTTTCCAAGATGGGATTGGCAGCAGAAATCGCTCTCATATAATCGATCGAATAATCGATACCGGCATCCAATAGACTTGAGGCTGGCACAGATATGTCGACAGAGTGCAATCCGGCCTTGAGAACGTGCAGAAGTATAAGCATATACTTTCCATACTTGAGAAAGAATTCGGTGCCGTTTCGGATTTCGTAACCTTCATGCTTGGCAATATGGATGTGGTTCTGGCTGCTCTTGCTTGCTGCCACGGTGTGATCTCCACATTCGCATAGGAAATGGAGACGGAACTTGTTCCTCAAGATATCCTTCGGGTTCCACTTGCTGTGATCGACAGGTAAGATTATAAATAGTCGTGGAATCGGATACTCGTGTAGCTCAAAGTCCTGGACGAGGATAGCCCGAGCATGTTTTTGAATGATGGCAAGTCTGTCGAGGGCTTGGTTCATCTGGTCACGCAACTGAGCCTGCATATCAAGCATCTTGTCTTGGTTCTCTTTGGCCTCCAACTGCAGTGCTAGCATTTTATCGTCCTTCGCTTTGGCTTCGAATTGCAGTGCTAGCAGCAAACCCAGAATCTGCTGTACGTCTTTGTTTTCGGAAATGACGATCTGGGTTTGTTCGACATTGCGAGCAACCAAAGTTGAAGCGACAGGCTGAGCCAAGCTTGATGATGATAAAAGAGAGTCTCCAAAGGTATGAGCACCCACTTTTCCTGGTGTAGAGCAATGGGAAACGGCGCTGCTGTTGCTGGACTGCAATTCCTCTGTAATGACGTCTAGGACCTTGTCAGGATAAAATGCGATGCATGGAGATTGATTTCTGATAGAGCAGAGAAGATATGAGAATTACGTCCTCTTCTTTTGTCAGATCAATAGAAATGGCCGCGTGATTAGTGCATACCTTGTGCCATCAAGGACTGGTAGGAATGGGATGAGATGCCCATCTAACACGAATTGCTGTGCATTCTTAAACACGTCTTGGATGTCCTCCAAACTCACAAAGCACGATGAGGTGCCGCTGGGTTCAGGGCTAATGGCTGTCCTGACAGAAACGGCTCGAATGATTTCTGCCTGACGGAATAGTTGGTATAGATGTTTTGTCATGATAGAGGCAATTCGGTGGATGGTGGGTGCTGGGTACAGAGGTTTTAACTTTTATACTTGTCTCTGTCGGGTCTTTAGTGTCATCCTCGCCCTCGCCTACGCCCTCTGCTGCCGTAAACAAAGGACGCATGAAATCTACTCTTATTGTAAGAAAATTCTTGCAGGATGCAAGAAAAAGATGAAGCCCATGGACTGATGGTTGCAAGGGAATAGCGTCCATCTATCAATGTCACACAAGCATCGCCCCTCTATCAATATCATTTTTTTCAAGAATTGGCGAAGCAAAAGTACACTCATGTATGCGGTGCCCGTCCTACCCAAATATACGCCCCCCTTAACCCCCATCTTCAGGAAAAAAGAGAGGAGAGATGCTTAATCTTAGCTGATAGTCTAGTAGCAATTCTGTAATCTACGGTATGTTCGCTAACGTGCATTATCTTTTGACTATGTCCTTCGCTTTCAGATTTCTTCTTCCCCTCATGTAGACTACTACACTGCACAAGCGGACTGGCGCTTCTTCATGGTGATCACATAACTTTCCGTAGCCAACGCTGTCGTAATGTACTGCACATAATCCTCCCGCTGGTTGGGCACGAATCCGATATCGTACATGGTGATCAAGGTGGCAATAATCAGACGCATCTCCATCATGGCAAAGTTCTTGCCGACGCAGTTGCGCGTCCCGGCGGAGAAGGGGTAGAACGTGAATTCTTGAACCGGTGGGAAGGGTGAATCCCCAGGGATCCAACGTTCGGGGATGTATTTGTCCGCCTGCGGGAAGTACTCGTCCGACCAGTGGAGCTGTGGAAATTGGGCAAGTAGAACTTTTACAGAAGCAATATAAGAGGAGTAAGTCGGCTATGCTGATGACACTGCTCGATTAGAAAAAACAACAACTCCTGCAAATACTTACTGGTGCCCTTGGGGAAGAAATAGCCGTTCATGGTCACATCTTCGGTGACCTCTCGTGGAAGACCTGCAGCATGAGGGAGAGAGAGTGGGGGGCAATGTCAACAGCTGCGTCCACTTTTTTCCCTTTTTTTTTGTGCATGAAGACATACCTGTAGCTGCAACGGGACGAAGTCGAAGGGATTCGTTGATGCATCCTGTCAGGTATGGCAAATTGCGGACTTGATCGTAGGCTGGCAAGGTGCCGTTGAGGTTGCTTGCAGTTGCCAAATCCAGCTCCTCCCTCAGCTTTGCCAGTTTGTCAGGGTTCTTGACTAGGAACATCAAAGTAAAGGTGATAGCCGTAGAAGACGTTTCTGATCCCGCGATCCTGCAAAAAGGAAACAACACACTCAGTATCGGACGTTGCAGTCGAGTATCGGATACATAGAGGAAACAATAGCACCTACAGGAAAATGCACGCCTCTGTCTCGACGGCCTTGTCGGTCAATTTGCCCGAGATCATATCCTCGTACTCATTGCCTGTCTCACCATTGCCGTTGACACGCTCGTTGGCCTGGGCATCAATCAGATATTGCAGTAGGTCTGCCCTCCGACCCTTCTCCCCATTCGCCTTGCGCGCCCTCACTCTCTCAGTGCCAAATTCGACAAATGAGAAATCCAAGGGTATGATCCACTTCATCCACGGATTGAATGCCTGCTGCATAGCTCGTCTGAGTGTCTTGGCCATCTGACCAGGCACAGGATGGCTATCATCTTTGACCATCTCAAAGGATTGACCGAACGCAGTCTCGCCAATGATGTCGAGCGAGAGTCGCATCATGAACGAGCAGATATCGATATGACCTGCCGGGAGCACTTTTTTGCCTTTGACAGCCTTGGGGTTTTCGAGGAGTTCGTCTACTTTTTGGACAAGGACATGGATGCATTCGTGCATGATGGGTTCCAAGGACCGGAGATACTGCAGACCGAAAGCCGGGGCTACCAGACGACGCTAAAGGGATGGATGGATATCATCTTGGATTTAGAACCACATCAGTTTTGCCAAAGCTGAGTTTGCTTGGCGTGTACTTGATACTTACTCGGTTCTTGTGAAAGTCCTTGTTGCGCGACGAAAAGAGATTATGCTGACCGTTGAGCTCGAACCCTTCGTGGATGGTACTCTTAGGATAGTCCGTCGTCACCAAGATCTATTAAAAAAGTAACAGGATAATAGTTGTGAATAGATGTTGTGCAGAGGATAAGAAGAAAAAAAAGAAAAAAAAGAAAAAAAAGAAAAAGATAATCTTACTTGTCTGATCATGTCCTTGTCGGCGACAGAGACAAATTCTGGCCCAATCCTCACAACCTTCCCATACCTCTTGTGAACGAACGGCATTCCGTAATGGGTTCTTCCGGAGAGAGAGGCAATGCCTGTGAAGAAGTTGCTCGAGGCGACCAGCTTATTTCCAGGGATCGGGGACAAGGGATGGAAGAACGCGTTGGCTACCATCTGTGTGATATGTTAGTGGAGATAATAGTCCTTAGTGTCCAATCCGTTTGAGGGGATTTTTTTTCTATTGGTTGTCAACAAACAAAAGGACTTACATTTTTGATGCTTTTAGCGACCCACAGCGTAAAGATGATCCAGAGCAGGCTGCTTGGCTTACGAAGGGAGTGAATAGTTGTTGGGTAGGTGGAAAGAATTGTCTTTGCAAGTTCCAACAACGTTGCTGAAGGAGAGCCGAGTCGCGAGAGAATAGCCATTGTTGACACAGTCGATAGTCTTCGTGGTATAAGTGGGGGATGGGCGTGGATGAAAGATATTACGATGAGAATGAGTAGGGCACAGCACAGGAAAATTTATGAGGAGCGCGTAGTGGTGCACCATGGTTTTATACTCCCTGGAAAGGACGCTCAGGTTCGGTTCGACGAGCAGTCAACGCGTGCTAGGGACAGCATTGTTCACAAGGAGCCGAGGAAGACAGATCTTGGCTGCCGATAGCGCTAACTGCGATGGATGAGGAAAAGCGCTACGCGTAGACTTGGAGTAGGTTGTAGATTGACGTCCCAAGAGGACACCGCCCCACAGATGAATACACACATCTATGGAGCTGCGCCAAGCGCACAGTAATGTGCCACTGGGTCCGAGCATTGCTCTACACTCCTGCGTATCTTTGTGCATCGCCCCACATATTAATGGTGCTTCTAAAGTAAACTGACAGGGTATCATTGGCATAGTTTATTACGGACAAGATATGTATTCTGTTCTGCACAATGTTGAACAAAAGTGTTTAATGAACGAGCTTATCAAAGTGGCAATCATGGCAACTTTTTTTTTTAAATGCTTGGCGTTCATCCAACAAAAATAAAATAAAACAAATGACACTCGCCCACAGTGTATCCAAGACTAGACAGGGCTAGACAACGGCGATAGGAACATCGCAGGCCGCACCCATTAAGAAAGAGAGGGAGCCAAGTTTCATGGGTTCAACAACAGCTTTGAAATGAACGGTTTAATGCTGGCCTCGGAAGCAATGTCCGCTCTCAACATGACATGGCATTGCATTGTATCAAAGTTCAACGTACGTGCGCTGTGACATTTTTATAGAGGGCTACGGTTTACCTCAGCAGAGTATATGTAGTATCACGCCACCCCTTCCTTGCTTCATCCAAATCCGCTCGCCCTGACCATGGCCACCTCAAGCCCATTCATCTTCACCCGAGGACTCATCAGTCGCCATGCTTTCCTGCAGCGGGTAGGTTCCAGAGGGGAGGAAGTTACAAGAGGTGAGCAGATTGTTGAGGAGGGGCCACCGATGGCTGTGTATCCGGGAGTATCGAGCAGCTTGCTTATCCCCCGAGCGGCGAATGTCCTCACAGCCCAGTGGGCGAGTGAGAGAATGAAGGTTCTGTGCGGAGGATGGATCCCCGCAAAGGAGATCTGCGAGCACGCATTCTGATTGGCCACAGCACAAACTGACGATTTTTTTTTTTTTTTTTTTTTTTTTTGGATTGTTATGGATCCGCCCCGAACTAAAGGCGCCAGCTGCTGCTGGTCCAGGCACCGCTCGTCTGCTCTCACTCCCCTCCTCCGCCTGCCCTTCTCCTCCTTCTCTTCCTTCCTTCCTTCTCTCCTCTTCCCCATATTTTCCCCGTCCTCGCTCCCGCATCCTCTCCTCTTCACCTCCTCTTCCTCGTCTTCCTCGTCCTACCTCTCTTTTCCCAACCTACTCCACAACCACTACTGCAACCATGGGTAACGCCGACGTCGCCGCTCCTACTCCCGCTCCTCTGACCTCGACCATCGCTGCTGATGTCGACTTATCGCAGTACGACGATGAGCAGGTCAAGCTCATGGAGGAGATGTGCATCGTTATTGACCGTGACGATAAGCGCATCGGTGCCAACAGCAAGAAGGCCTGTATGTGTTCACCTTTGCTGACTACCACTATTTGTTCTCTCGTCCAAGTTCTCACGCATTTCGGTGGGGGGAGAGTCGCAATTAATGCAGGAGAGAGATAGCCAGGACAGCGAGATCTGGATTATATTACAAGGAACAATGGCATCCTCTTTACTGTCAAGGACGCAATTGAGGTGGACGTAGAAGGACCGAGGTTTTATTCATATGGATCGTTTGACTGGATAGAAGCAGAAGCAGGAACAGGAGCAGGAAACGGATCAGAGACAGCATACATGTGCCGACATCCACCATGAAGCAATTGATCTGTTCCAGCGATACTCATTGGGCATGCTTTCCTATATTACCACAGCTAAACAACATGCGGATCGCTAACAATCCCTCGTATTTTTCGATTGATTTCTGAATAGGCCATTTGATGACCAACATCATGGATCACAACCTTTTACACCGCGCCTTCTCTGTCTTCCTCTTCTCTGCCGATGGCACCAAGCTCCTTTTGCAGCAGCGCGCCACTGAAAAGATCACCTTCCCGGACGCATGGACCAACACCTGCTGCTCTCATCCTCTCAACACTGCAGATGAATTGATCGAGAAGGACAACCTCGGAGTTCGCACAGCTGCCCAGCGCAAGTTATTCCACGAGCTCGGCATTGAGGCCCAGGACGTTCCCCTGGATCAGTTCCACTTCTTGACCCGCATCCACTACTTGGCCCCCTCGAACGAGACCTGGGGTGAGCACGAGATCGATTACATTCTCTTTATGAGACCCCAACACAAGGATTACGTGGACATGAAGCCAAGCCCGAACGAGGTCCGGGATGTTCTTTGGGTGGATAAGGAAGAGCTGAAGGAGCTTTTGGCCAAGGGCGTGACCCCTGGTAGCGGTATCATTGTCACTCCCTGGTTCAAGCTGATCTGCGATAACTTCTTGTTTGGCTGGTGGGACAGGATGTTGGCCCAGGGTGGTGTTGACAAGGTTGCTCAGTCCGATGAAATCGAGAAGATCTACCGCCTGTGAACATCCAATTACTTACAAGAGCACCCCCCTATTGCATAATTACACCCCACTAGTTTTCTTCAATTCTCCACTCACCATTCAAATAAACAATTTTATACACAGTGGCTTTTGATGTGTGCAACACAGCATTTGAAAACGCTGCGCCGGAGCCCTGGCTGCAGCTCAGCACTCCCCCCCTCCCCTCATTCTTCCTGCACCATGGTTGTTCCCAGGAAGCATCGCACAATTGTCGAAAACACCTACCCCTGTGGAATGTAAGACTCATCGACTGGGTGATCAAGACGCAATGTCGGTCCGGATGAACGATAAGCAGGGAGAACAGGAACGAACTTTGAAAACTGACATTATGGCATACTGAAAAAAACCTCCTCCCCCCCCTATTGAACGGCAATAGCTGCAAGAAACAGCCTTACAAGTACATTTGTCCAAGATGCAACCTTCGCTATTGCTCATTAACCTGCTATAAAGATCAAGTAAGGAACCGATACACTCTCATAACATCGCTTTTATTTTTTTTATCCGCAGAGTACTCGTATGTAATCTCACCCTGTTCACAAAAAAATCGACGCTGAAATAGGCTCATGTGCAATGTACCGAGTCGTTCTATCGGTCCTCGGTGATGGAAGAGATGAAGTCCAATCCTGAAGTTGCGGCCGAGGGTCGAAAAAAGATGCTGGGGATCCTGGATCGGTTCGAGAAGGAGGCCATTGATCAGGAACGGATGATGGATATGTCCGAAGAGGACATTTTACGGCAGATACAAGGGCAGCAACAGCAACAGCAACAGCGTCAGCATGGACCACCAGAAAAGTTGGGAACAGCATATAAGAGCGACGGGCGTGATTCAGAAACACCAGGAGCTGTGCGGACGAAACTCACGCCCAAGGAACGAAGCGATTTAATCCGGAAGGCGATTGAGGAGGAACAGAAGGAGGCCAATATCGACCTTGCGGGGGATGATGGAAGCACGCAGTCGATTGATCCAGAGCAGCGCGAAGAGATGGAGCGGATGCTGGAGCAGGAACATCAGGACATGATGAAGCGGTTTCAGGACGTGGATCTGGACAAGGAGTCGTTCGACAGTATATGGGCACGACTCACTCCGGAGGAGCAACAGGAATTCCGAGAGAAATTCATGATATCGACTCGAATGGACGACGACGATGCTTTGGAGGAAAGCGCAGGGGCCAGTGTGGCCGACGCCAGTGATGCTGAGGCGGACGACCATGAAGAGGAACTGGAAGCGAAAAGGCTCCTGCAAGAGATGGGCGACACTTTGAAGCGTGGTGGCGCCAACAGCGGCAAGGCAGCCAATCCCATGATGGCAGATCTCGATACAGAGGATTTACGTGCAATTCGAGACGCCGAGATCTCGGAGTTGATCCCCATCTGGAGGCCGTGGTGGGAAGTGGAGGCAGAGGAAGCAGGCCATCTGAAGAAGGTGGTTGTCTCCGAAGTTGCGAATAAGGAGGAATTGGATCGCTTGAACGCTGCATCCATTAGCACGGCGGCACCGCAGGCTGGGCCAGAGACCTCAAGCAGTATACCCGAACAGATCGCAGAGTCTGTCTCACCATCCGGCAAGGTTCTGGAGAGATTCGTGTTGGATGAAGAAGCTATGCTGCAGCCGCTTCAAGCGCTTGTTCAGGATGTTGAGAAAATCAGAAAAGAACAGGAGAGGATTCGGCAGGGTACAGACGCTGTCGTTCCAATGGTTAGAGCCCCTCATCCGTCCATGATCTACCATGTGTGCGCACTCTTATTTGCATACGTCGCCACATGTCGCGTCCTGAACGGAGACCTGATAGAAGAACCCGAGCAGACCCTGGCATACATTTTCGATCTGTGCCCGTTTTTCTCTCCACCGGGACCTGCTCCTGCGTCGATCCCATCAACATCTTCGACCGCAAACGTACGACAGATTGCTGAGGTGGATGACTTTGAAACAACTCTTGCAGTCCTTCAAGCGAGTAGTCTGAATTCGAAGCTATGGAAGGGTGACACTCTGCGACTCGAGATGCTATCGCTCTTACTCCGCGACCTGACCCTGATCCTTGCTCGACCATCGCGGTGTCTTTGTTGTATTCGACAACTCAAGGATGTCTTTTCGACTTGTATGACAGCCTCAGGAAAAGGCCCGTCGAAACGGCAGCGACTCTACGAGAAATCAACACTGCATCGACTGTTCAAGAAACTGGAGTTTTATGAATCCTACTTGTTGTCGGAGGAGTGGATGCTGAGATCAGACCGGCTGGATCGGGTCAGGACAGAGGTTGTTGTGACAGGGATCCGTGTCCGTCAAGAGATGGTGGGGTGGACTCAGGACATTGAAAAGGCGTCGAGAGCTCAGGGGCCAGGCAGTGATACGGTAGAGTCGAAGGCAAAAAAAGGAGCAGATACCCCACAGCGCGTGCTGATCGAAGAACTATCATAATTGTGATCATAGTGGCACATTTCGTTTTATAACGGTGTCTTCTCCCCCGCATATCGGAAAGTTTGCGCTCCTCGTTTACAGTAGATTAGACTATTTATATTTAGGAGGAAGAGGAAGCGCGACATCTCCGTGGAATGTAAAAAAAAAAAAAGATTTCAAATCCCAGCTAGGTTCAGCATATTTATGGCATCGCAAGGGGGGTAGTATCTGAATAGGTCCCACATCGGCTTCAGGCTCATGGGCTGCTTCTACTCAAAGAGGGATTCCAAGCAACTTGATGACCATATACACGGATGCGCCTATGGAGCAGAGTCCTTGCGAAACATGCACAGGGGCTCAACCCAGTCCGAGAACCTTACCCATATTGATCTCGAACTCGCAAAAAGGTCAAAGGACTTGGATGTTTCTGGTAGTGTGCTTCATTACGACAATGGCGATCGACAGGATTTTTTTCTCTCGCTCTCCCCTCCACCCTCCTTGCCTAAAAGCATGGCCAAACAGTAATGGTACTGGCACTGAAATGGGCGCAAAGAGCAGCGAGAGGAGCAAAGTTCAGCATCAAGAACAACACCATTCGTTTGGAAACATCGACGCTTTATTCTAAAGGACGTTCACAATAACCTCCCCTCCCCCCATTGATATTATTATTTTTGAAGCACAACAGCAACAACTGATCCTGAAAGATCAAGGAATTAACGTTGATGAAACGGCGCTTGTCCAGACGGTACTCTGGTTGCATGATTCTGTACTTGTGCCCACAGCAAACATGCGTGCTTTTGTCAAAGACGGCGGCATGGTAAGCCAGACGGTGAGAATAACTGCAATAACAGCGATATGAATAAATCCAAGGACGGTGTCAAGCACATAGCAGCCACGAAAACCGAGTTGATCGGAAGGGCCAAGCACCATGTACTCCCAGCGACAGTCATTCAGACAATGCCGCCATTACAGCATCAACCATCGAATCACCTAAACAGCCTCCAAAAAAAAAAAAAAAAAAAAACCCCCCTTTATCGTGGAAGGAAAGATACACAACAAAGTTTGTAAAAATGTCGACTGCCGTAGATTCCTTCGAGGCGGAAGAGTGAGACAAGATGAGTCGATGAGTCGATCGTATGGCACCGTAGGGGGTTGCTGGATAGACGAGTCTGCATTCTAATGTCAGCATTTTATTTGGGGTTCCTGGAGGCCCTCCACTCATCTAAACACGTACGGCAAGGCAGTCTTCGATATGAACAGGTAATCAAATCAACAATCAGCTAGAATCACTATGTCTTAAAAGAAACATGCGTCGGTAAGACGTCTCGTGCTCACGAAGGATGGCGAAGTATTGCTGCATTAGCGCTCAACGGAGGTGTGGTCAATTAAAGGCGTCCGGGGGGGGAATGGCGGAGCAGATCTAGATGATGAAAGAAGAGCGCGGGAAGGAGCAGACGGAGGATCGGGTGGAGGACTTCCGCGGGAAGGGGCGGGGGGAAGAGTCCATCGCGGACTCGATGCATTTACTACGCGACGAAGGTTTGGGTTAGCTTTCGAAACAGGCGGCTGTTCCAGATCCATTAACAGAGTTAAAAAGCGTGCTGCACATATCCCTTTTCTTTTCCTCTGTTTCTCCAAAGCTCCTCTCACTCCCATCGCTCTACAATCAACGTCTTTCACACACCCTCTGCATTGCATCTCTCTATCCGACCTTTACCACACCCAGCCAGCACCTCTCCAGCAACCCAGCCACACTCTTCCGAAAGCCAACAACCATGGGGATCTTCAACAAATTCTTCGGGGTGGTCGACCCCGAAACAGGCGTGCCTATTCTCTCCTTCCTCTACGCGGTCGTCGGCATCGTCTTTATGATCCTCTGCCTTGGTCGCTGTAAGCGTGCGCGCCCTCACTTCTGGCTCGCCATTATCCCAACCTCGCCTCCAACACTGTCCCCTCTCGATCCACATGCACTCCCCCCCAGGAAGACATGCCTCGCAGCGCCCAATGCCTGCACACCAACAGTTTTATTTCGTTGCATGATCGAATGTTTTTCTTGTCGTTACCCGTTGCATCTTCTTTATCGCCGTGGAAAGAATACACCGATTCCGTGGACTTAACTGATATTCCAGAACATCCTGAAAAAAATATTTAGCTGGCTATCTAGAGTTAACCTGAGCGCTCCACTTGAGCCAGCCGTGTTTCCACGCAGTGATGTGCTTCTAAACTTTGCATTAACATTGTTTCTGCTCTTGCTGCCTTTTTTTTTTTTTTTTTTTTTTTTTTTTGCACTATATTCTCGTACGCAGGAATCATGCCACAGGCAGAGACAGATATTGCCATCCCTTGGGCAATCGTCTGTCTTCTTCTTCTGCTCACAGGCGCCTATGGATTATGGGTTAATAGAAAAGTAAGCGAATGCAGATGCAAATACAAATATTTCTTTCTTTCCATTTTTTCCATATTTTTTTTCGACACTTAGTCTTCGTACGTTTCCTGGTCTTCATATATGCATCGTAGGGAAGCACATGGCACCATCTTCAGTTCGTATCGGCTTGTTGGGGATTCTTGCTGATGCTCCTCTGTTGGGGTGTGGTCTACATCGCGGTCGAGATGCACCATGTCAAGAAGGTGAACGAAGGATGCATGTATCGCAACGCAAGCTGGACCCTAAAACAATGCGATGATCGACGGAAAACTGCAGGGGTCGTCGCCATTGTCCTAGCCGCTATCGGAATGCTCTTTGGCATATACTTTACACTCGTCTTGAACGTATGGGTCTCGTCAATTGAGTGGACCGAGTACTTGGAGAACGAGAGGCGACTGGCAGCCTGGCGTTCGGGTAAAGCAGAGAATCCGCACATCGAGGAATATTTCCAGGTCGATGGGGCTGTCTGAAGGACAGGGAAAGGCCATGGCAGAGATCCTGCGCCGTATTAAGAGAAGAGGACATAATAAAAATTACTTTGCATGGATTTTGTGCCAGCCTCCATAACTACAAACACAGCAACACAGCAGGAATCTCCCATCTTGCTTGGTGCATAAAGCGAGAAGAAGAAACTTGTCCCTGAAATTCGCCTTTCCAAAGTGTTTGCAGAGAGGAGCCGGCTGAAGAGACGGT